TGCATTATTTAAAACTACATGTCATGCTAAAATGTTTAAAAATTTACAAAAATTCTATCCTATTTGTCACGTTATCGGAAGACAGAGGGTGCAAAAATCTTGAAAATGTGTTTTATTTCTCCATGATAGTGAATTAGCTCAATTTATTGTTCTAATGTTTGTTGAAATGAACTGCTACCCAGAAAAGTTTTTATCATTTGAAGACATGTTGTTATTATTATTATTATTATTACCAACAGGGTGCAGCACTATTTTTTTATGACAACAGCTAATTTGCAACCAAAAGGTGAGTGAGCGTAGCAAACCAACTTCAACCTGGAGGTGAGTTAGCGTAGCGAACGTGCTAACCTGGTGGCAAGTGAACGCAGCGAACGAGCTCCAACCTAAAGGTGAGTGAGCGTAGTGAACGAACTTCAACCAGGACGTGATTGAGCCATGCTTAACGAACGAGCTTATCTTGAAAATGAACGAACATTTGACATAAAACCACATTAGGACAGGACGACGTCTGTCAGGCCAGCTAGTAACTTTATATTTTATTGTATGATAAAAAATCGTACATTTTGATTCTTTACTGTATAAAACCTGTTGTATACATACCTTTTGGTAACATCGTTTATATTCAATTCTAAAAAAGGGTTAATTCAAAGTTCAAGTTTACAATGCTACGTTTTAAAAAATATTCCTAATCAACCAACTCAGTATTTATTCAACTTAATTCAAGATACAACCTATGTGAATTGTTTCATATTTAAAAACAAGTTGTTCTGGAATAAAGTATATCATTGTAGACTAAATCTAATTTCTTCTATCTTGTATCAACTTACATTTTAATCATGCTATAAATAAATTTAATATGGGCAGATAATTATTTTTACAAAAAAAAAATCGATTATAAGAAGGAATGGAGGGGATATAAAATAAATCCATTAAATGAACATAGTCCCTGCCTTGACGAACAGCAACAATCCATTTAATCACCTCTGCGTGTTTCTCTCGTTTTGTTTCTCATTTTCTTTACAATATTCTTTTTTTCTTTCATAGTTTAACACTTCATTATTTTATCATATTAAATTCACGTCTAAGTCTCCGGACAGTGCCAAGTTGTTATGTTTATAACATTCAACCTGTCTATATGGGTTTCATTCACGTCTGATACAAGGGTCTTAAGTCAGTTTTGTATCCCAGTCACATACATTACAAGTCTATCAGACAAGTAATGGTGGCCATAAGCTCAATAATACCCTTGAGATATCGCACCCTCCTTGATGGTCATCAGTAGGGGATCTCTCCTAGTTTAGAGGGTAAATACTGTTTATTGTTGCTCGTGATATGTCACCGAGTTTCGTGATTTAGATAGAATTAAATTGAAATAACTGTATGCGTCTTATAAAAGGCATAACCAGATCAAATTAGTTGTGAGAACGTGTGTGATAAATATTTTTATTATATGGAAAAAGGGAGATAAAAAAACTGCTTGGAATATTCAGAGCAAATTTGTCATGTGGGTGAATAGATTAATTTAATGTAATTATTAAATGCGTAGTGTTACCTTAACGCTGTGCATACCACACGTGTAGTTTAATTTAAACGGAGTTATTTCTTCAATATTTTAGTCCTTTTCATACATATTCGATAGGCAAAATGCCTACCTGTATACTAGTTGACCTAAAGTAGGATAGTATGCCATAATAAAGAACTTCAAAACCATTATTATGTATCATACGAATTATTTCTTTGTTTCTTAAACCTTAACCGGATGAGTTACTCATGCCACGTAACGGAATGGAAACGCATATCTTTTGTTCTCTGTACAATATGTTAGAAAATCTACCCTTTATTATACCCTTTATATGAAGGGCGACACTGAAACCAGTTGTAACCCCGTTTTAACACACCTACTCTCTGAGTTGTAATTGTATTAAATCAAACGCACTTCAGAGTAAAATTTACTTCTTTATTGAAGTTTTTTATTCTCATCTGTGTTTGGTGTATCTTCGTTATAACACTTCATCTTGTTATAGCCTATATTACAAGATACACCAACAAGTACAAACAAATTATACATTTACGTTTGTAAATTTTACATTAAAACGTTAATTGTCGAAATCCTGGACCTAAATAACCTCATGGACGCAAATGAGTGTTTTACATGTCTTCTTGAGATACTGGTTCAGAAAAAATATGAGGTGAATTATTGCTCGTAAAAGAACAACGTTGGCGACAAAGTGACGCCATCAATACAGTCTCAAGTGGCAAGTGGCAAAAGTGGCTCTCTCGTGGAGCTATGGAACATTTATGGGGCTCTTCACCACCAGCGTCACTCTTGGAAATAGGCTTCATTTGTCAGTGAAGAATAGCTTATATCAGGTTCTATAATAAGCATATAGTTGCTCTGTAAAAACGATTTCTCACAAATATACTGTTTTTTGATATGTTTATAATGAAATCTTCAGTTATGTAAATGTTGAAAGTTCGAACTTAAAGTAAACTGCACTTAATTATTTCATTTTGCAATTGTTATGTCTAGAACCTTCTTTTTTCTTGTTTATGTGTGTGTTTAATTTTTTAAATGTATATTGGGATTGGATTGTCATATGTGATATTGAAATTGGTTGTGATATAAATTGAAGGGAGAGACATAATTAATAGGGCTTTACAAATTTGAAACTACCATAATGCAAGCATTTATTAATAATATTTGGCTCTACATAAGAGAAATAATCATCAACTCGGTTGTAATATTACTTTTATAGAAAGCGATTGAACTCACCCCTATAAAAAAGTAATTTCTGGCCATATATGGCCATATCAAAATTCCATATATGTTTTTATAAAGCCATATATGGTTATTTATTGCCACATATGGAAGCAGATATGGCCAGATGTGGTTGTATCCATATATGGTGGTGTCCATATATGGTCATATATGTAGTCTATATATGGAATTATTGGCCATATATGGCCATACATGTTTTCTATATATGAAATGATTGTCCATATATGGCCATACATGTTTTCTATATATGATATTATTACCCATATATGGCCATAAATATCCTCCATATATGGAATCATGGTCTATATATGGCCATATATGACTCCCAGGTATGGAATTAAATTACTCATATACGGAATAATAATTTTCCATTTATGCTCATGTATAAATGAGTTTTTGACAATAACTGGAATTATTATAAGGAATTGTTGCCACATTTGGATTTTGTAACTGGACTCCCAAACACTTCTTATAATATATATAATATTATAAATCTTAAAGTTTGTGAGTTTGTGTATTTTCTTGTTGCTCTCGCAAGCACAAACTACTGAGCTGATTCAGTTGAAATGTGGTAAAGTAGGGGGCAGATAATGTAGGCATTTCTCATTTAAAGTAATTAGTAGTAAAGTAATAAAGTATCCAGATTTGAACCCAGATGACAAAATCCTGTACATACATCTATTGTACAATTTTATTATAACGCTACAAAATCTTAAAACTGTCGTATAATTTTAAAATTGTAAGTGTAGTAGGCCTAAATAAAGAGAATATTATATTAATAATTAATTAATTGTACCTTTGCTATCAAACAGCCGCAAATATCAATGTCACGTAGTTAGGCTATATTAATAATAACATTCTTCAAATGACATAAAATGTCTAAGAAAATCTCGTTTTACGAGACCAAATACAGCTTCTCTTATTCGTAATGGGTTTTGTTAAGAGATTTGATATGAAGCGGTCGTGGGGTAGTGGTTAAAGGGGTGTACTCTCACCCTGGAGTCCCGGGTTCGAATCCCAGTCAACTGCATGAAATTTTTGTTTTGAAATTTTCGAATTAAAATTTTTTATTTAGGTGTTATAATGCATAGTTTATACCATTTAATGTGAAAATATGTTTAATTGTAATTTTTTTATATATTTTTTATTTAAAAATTTCCATATATGGGGGATTCCATACATGATCATATCTGGTTATATTTGGTCCAAAACCAAATATAACCAGATAAAAAAAAATTTATATGGCCATATATAAACTTTTTCATAAGGGCAATAAAAGTTTAAAATAAAGATAAAAAGACAACAAGTCGAAAATAAAGTTGCAATAAGACAATGAGTATATATGCGCACTATTGAACCAAGAAACAGCGGAAAAGTAATTTCAGTTTATTAAATCTAAAGCAGTTTCCTTAATAAGGTAATTTTACGACTTCAGACTAAAATGCTAATGATCAAAACACGTGTCATCTCCTTGTCTTGGCTTATTGGACTGATACTACTGTGTCATATATTCTATTCATTGTTGGACTTATCCCCAACCCTTACTTGATATTTAGTTTATCATGTGAGAGCTACTACTTAACAGCATCAGCACCGCAATAAGTGTTATCTGCTTGTATCAACTCATTGAACTGATAACGATCCTGTCAGATATTCTATTCATTGTTGCATGTTATCTACAACCCTTACTTGATATTCAGTTTATCACGTTAGAACTGATACTTAACAACATCAGCATTACAATATGTGTTACCTGCTTGTCTCAACTCATTGAACTGATAAAGACCCTGTCAGATATTCTATTCATTGTTGCATCTTATCTACAACCCTTACTTGATATTCAGTTTATCATGTGAGAGCTAGTACTTAACACCATCAGCATCACAATATGTGTTATCTGCTTGTCTCAACTCATTGAACTGATAACGACCCTGTCAGATATTCTATTCATTGTTGCATCTTATCTACAACCCTTACGTGATTTTCAGTTTATCATGTGAGAGCTACTACTTAACACCATCACACACTCACTCCC